ATTCAATAAATAGATTAAAAATAAAAAAATAATAATAATTTCCACCTCTCAGCAGCGAAGGATATTGATAAACGATGTGTCGAAAGATAAAGTATTTCATAAAGAAATAACGAATACCGATTAAAACATATGATTGGCCTGTAATAAAATTGTCAGCACTCAGTGGACGCAAAATTTGGTGGTATACAACTTTGATTCTATAGGTTTTCCCTTTTAAGGAACTCATTTCCAAGGGTCAGTTTTAATAATTTGTCTCAGTTTTTGACAAATTTGGTAACGATCAGTGTTGATTCACAGTGCTTCAATACATTAGTTGTGTTGCACTAATGCGAGACTGAGATGAGTCTTGGTCTTGCAAACTCAGTCAGAAAATGAACTAGTTCAAGCTGTTTGTTGTTTTGTCTACTCGTCTGAATAATTAGACTTCCATACGAAAGAAAAAGCAAACACGGTATAATATAGTAAAAATATTAAAATATTAACATCAATCAGACACCTATCATAAATAATAGTTATTCACCATAGAAATTTAGCGCTTTTTATTTTGCAATCCAAGTTAATGTGAAAAAGTATTGAAAGTAGCGATGTTCTTTAAATTTTAGTTGATGGTATCTTTTGACCAAACGGTCTGCTCAAGGTAATAATAAGCTTTTTTTTTTTTTTTATTTATTGATGATATTTACAACTGTATTACAAGTAAAAATACATTCAGTAAATGTGAACAAAAGAATATAAAAACATGAAATCATTTGTTGAGAAACTACCCACTGGTAGCACTCTAAAAATGTATTTACAAAAGGAGATCTCGAGGCCATCTTCTTTTCAGTCGCCTCGGAGGGTTGTCAGGGATCAAAAAGGAAGCAAGGTTAGAAACGAGAGGGTTCGGATGGTTGTGAAGTTTGTTATGGAAGGAAAGGTATCTGGATTGGGCCAGGTCAGAAACATACGGAACATTAAGGTCGTTATGGATGATTTTGTTTGTGACGAAGTAAGGAGCTGTGAGGATTTTACGAAGAATTTTGGATTGTAAGGATTGGATACGAGAGGAATTCGATGGCTTAGTAGCCCCAGAGCTCAATTCCGTAAGTCCAAATAGGTCTTATTGTAGTCATGTATATGAGTCTTTTGTAATTGACTGGGAGCTTAGAGCGTTTGTCTAGTAAGTGCTGGAGTAGTCGGAAACGTCGAGCTGTTTCTTGTCGTTTCAGTCTGGTATAAGGATTCCAAGTTAGACGTTTGTCTAAGTGGAGTACAAGGAGTCGAATTTGTTCAACAGGGATAAGTGGGGTATTATTAAAGGATACTGTAGGACAAGAGGACATAGGTTTACGACGAAGGGTAAAGGTGATTTGATGGGATTTATTAGAATTTATTTTGATCCTCCAGTTTTGAAACCATTCTTCAAGGTTTGTGATGTGTGATTGAAGGGTTTGGGATGCAATTGTTGGGTCGCTATTAATTGCTAGGACACATGTATCATCAATCATAAGCTTAAAATATTAAAATTTGCAACATTCATCTGCAAAATAAAGGCAAAATGAAAATAAATAAATACAATTGAAATCTCTGTATCTCAACATTTCTTATGCGTTTATTCAATTACATAATTATTTAGTATTTTTTTAATTAAAAGAAAATGTTACTTTTGAGAGTTTTTACCGCATTATGCGTCAGTCGTTTCGAATTCACCATATTTATTTAAATTCATAATGAATATCATTGATTTATATTATAGATTTATGTAAAATTTCTAATAATGAAAAAATCAAGATAAAACACCAATGTGATCTAAGCACTCATTATATTTGTTATTAGAGTTTGTTAGTATAAAAATGAATGGACTGTTTTATAACTAAAAATTAACAAACGAATTTAATTGTAGATGTAAAATTTTTTCTTTAGCTTATCTAATATACATTATCATCCTAATAAATAAATCTCCACTATTGATTACTTTGTCCAACTCTACGTGAATTTAACTTATATTTTTCTGTGTTATTTTAAAACATTTTTTTAGAAATATTTCGCGGACACTTTACAAAGTTTTGACCTTATACTAAAACGTTTTCTATGTAACATCATTTTTTTTTTTTTTTTTTTTTTTTTTTGTCCGACTGATTTAAAAGCTTTCTAGAACTGTCAGAAGGACAATTATAAATTATTTAGCTTATTTTAAAACTTTTCTCTTTTACTTTAGATGTTTTCCTATTATAGTAAAATTATATATATATATATATATATATATATATATATGAGCGAAGAAAAGTGCTTTCGCTTGATATGAGGGATAAGTATATGTAAATAAGGAAGCTCTGCTCGCCCGGCAATATGGTGATGATTTTCCGATGTAGGGACATTTTTCTATTACAAGAGAGCTGCTCTAATAGTCTCTCTAATGGCTGCCTTCTCCATCTTCTCTATACCTGCCTCAACTAAATTAAATTACATTATTTATGAAATTTCTTATTTATTTTTTAATAAATATACAAACTATTCCATCACTTCCGCCATCTTCTACCCCAAAATACCCGTAGACTCATAGTTTCCTCTCTCATCTTTCCCCACTTTGACTATAGCTGTGTGGTGTACGATGGCCTCTCGGTGGAACTGCGTGATAGACTCAAAAGACTTATGAATTGCTTCGTAAGATTTGTAATTGGAACCCCGAGACGCTCCCGTGTCTCCCACCACTACACTGAGTTAGGGTGGCTCTTCCCCTCCTTAAGAAGACAATATTTCCTTGGCACTTTCCTTTATCAAATCATTACCGATCATCGTCCTTCTTATGCCTACAACCTTCTCCAATTTAAGTCCTCAATCCATTCACTCACTACAAGATCCCGACCCTCTGACCTATACATCCCTTCTCATAGATCTGCCTCATTCCAAAATTCCTTTATAGCCCGCTCTGTCAACTTTTGGAATTCCCTCCCGATCAAAATTCGACATGCCCCTTCCCTGTATACATTCAAAAACCTCCTATTCCAATTCCTGTTCCAAAAACAGTCTGATACCAGCTAACTATTGATATTATATATGTATTGTGTAGCAATCATATAATCATAACACTTGGTAAGAGATAGTACATGCATTTCCTACTATCGACGTAGGAATTTCAATACATACATTTTTTTTTATTTTTTTTTTTATTCAATTATAAGTAACTGTTTATTTTTATATATATATATTCAAGTAAAGTTTTTTTTTTTTTTTTTATGAAATGAACTCATTGTATCTCTTTTTCGTTCTTCATTTCTCAAAGTGTATGTTTATGTTGTTCAACCCTTAAATATAATTTTGTTCATAGTTCAAGTGATTCGTTCATAGTTTTAATTGTTTTGTTCATAATTTTAAATGCTCTGTACATAGTTTTATCTGTTTGTATATAGCTTGTGCACCTAAGGTTTTCTTTACTTTTTATTTTATTTTATCAATTTTATTTATTGTTTCAACGTTCAGGCCAGTAATATTCTATTATTTTGTACATTATTGTTATTCTGAAGGGACTTAGTCCCAGAATAAAGTTTTTTTTTCTATCTATCTATCTTTTATAAAAAATATTAGTTGAATCGAGTTTTTAGAATATTTGATTATTTAAATTAATATTCGATAAGGAAGCAATACATATATAGATAGGGTTATTCAGTTCTTAGTCATGATATTTTTTTTAATGTATAATAAATATTTATTTAATATATGATACGATTTTGAGAAGAAAAGAAGTTAGACTTAATTTTGTGTTTTCTCAAGTTGGTCAAGTTTTCTCTTTTATAGGAACCGATAACACAAAAATTATTTAATTCAGATAATAAAACATTGCTCCATAGTAAACAAGACAAAATATAATTTAAGTACAGGTAAAATTTGTCTTTGTCTAAAAGTTCTTTAAGTGAAAAAGTCTTTTGTGGATGGTAAATGTGACTCATTAAATCATATTAATCATCATTAGATTAAAATGCATCAGAAACTAAGAATCAGACCTTCAAACTGTAAGTGAGGAAAATTTTCAACATTTCATCCTCTTTGTAATGAGCTGTTATTAAAAATTTTATCTTATCGCGATGGCGTATTATAAAGGTAAAAAGGGAAAATGTAGTGTCAAAAAACCAAATAATACCGAATTTTGTTGAACATATAGATTAAAATATTTCCAAAACTAAAATTTGAACCTCTATAATGTAAGAAAGAAAAATTTTCGGAATTTCCTAATAAGTTTACTTCTATGTTTTATTAAATATTAGTTGTTTTTTTTTAATGCATTTATTTTTCTATATGCTTAAGAAACTTTAGTTTTGTTTCAACAAGGTTATTTTTTTAATGCAGCAAACAAAGATAAATTTTGTTGAATAGTAATTGTGGGTTGATGGTTGACTGTCGTGAATAATGAAGAAAAGGATGGTTGGGGTGATCAGTCAGATATAAAAAGTCAATCAACTATCTTCGAACAGCCCTGATGAAGACATGAACTTCAGTTCGAAACGTTCGAAAATGTTAAAATAAATATTATCATTTAATTTTGCTTTTTTATTTCTGACTGATCACTCCAACCATCCTTTTCTGCATTGTAAATATATTTTTCGATTCTTAATAATTTTTCTTTTCATTCATTTAATAAATATTAAAATAGGAATTGTACGTTATTTAAAGTAATGCACGCCAAAAATGCGAAATAGTGTTAATTCTAAAATATAATAGTTTAGTGCATAAAAAATTACATTTAAGATTTTAACGAGTACTGCCGTTTTTGACTAACATCGTTCTCGAACTGTTGCAGTTGATACAGACACGAAAAATAATTTTTAAAAATTAAACAAGAATCGGTAAGATTATTCAGCCTCCAACCCGACGCTCTAAACTTTTCAGTAGACTAAAGGAATTTGGAAGCGGGTGATTAAAGTTATGTTTATAGTTTAAATGGTTTATTAGTACAATATATTTAGATTTTAAGTTTTACATAATTTGCGACTTTTTTACTTACTATCCAATAAATATTAAATTTATTATTTATAAACATATATAGATTTCATCGGCTTACTTTTAATGTATTCAAAAAGGATTTCACACAGAAACACAATCAAGGAAATCGTTGAACCGACAGCTAATACAAGAAAAGGTCCCGAAAGATCTGTCAGTGTAAAAGACTCAAACCCAGACCTCCTGGGACTCCTTGGATCAGGCCAATAATCCCAAATGAACTTTTTGACAGAACCGTTTTCGAGGACTCTCGAAGACAAGTCTCCTATTCTGTCGATGAGAAAATGGTTGCGCCTCATTTTCAGCCCAAGATAGACGAAACCCAGGTCCAAGTCTGAATTATAGAAGGATAGGCCGTATTTTTTTATCTTATATTTGAATGTTGGTTCTCGTTCCAAAAGCGTAAAGTTACCTAATTCGTGATGTGAAAAGATCTCACTGACATCTTGAATTATGATTCGATTAGATAGAACTTTTTTCAACAAAGGTTCTTCAACTCCTGACGTTTGTATGACAATATTTTCTGTCATGGCCGTTTTGATTTTGAGCTGGAGCATTTGCTCGAACGAGGTTATTTTCGACTCCCATTTGCCTGTGATTAGAAAACACGTCAATGCTACGGAGTATGCCAGATTAATGTGAATGATGTAAAACAGCCAAGCAGCGAATGCGATCCTGAACAAAGCGCCTTTTAGTTTAACGCTAGAAGGATTCGCGAATAACAGACCTATCATAATTAGCATGGATGTGGACAGTATTTGAAAAGGATGCTTCCTTTTGAAGAATTTAGCAAGTATAGATATAATCGAGGGGAATCCTATTGTAGTCACTAGTACCAAGATCCACAACGGTCCATCGAACGTCAAGAAAATCAGTTCCCAATTTGGTACCTGCTTCGGGTTGCTGAAGAACCAGGTCACGCGGTTCGTGAGATAAGAGTGCGGGACTGTGATGCAGGAGAAGGTGAAGATGAAGTTGCTATGTCCCGACATTATCATCCAAACTCTTCCTTTCCTCAGGTCTGCTCTAATCCCTCGGGGCATCTCCTTCTCTGTCCAGAAAACTGAGTCGTTTCTGGAGTAGTAGATCTTGAAGCGGATGTTCAGGCCCAAATGATGTCCGATCATTTTCACTATTCGATACTCGATACCACCCATCCCGTTTCCATCATCGTCCAACATGAAATGAGGAGGGTCATTCATCGTACCTACTTCAATCGTGCAGTTGTTGAATTTTCTTGGAACTTTGTCTCGGAAGAGATTTGTATTTTTTTCGAAACGACCACCGACCCATCTGTCTAATATCTCCACACTATTATCCTCAGGACAGCTTTTCTTGTCCTTTCCGTACGGAAACAAAGTGAATACGCTGATGACTCCATCCTTCTTCCCGACAAATATCACGTCTATTTCACCCATACGAAACATATATTTCAACAATGCATAGATTTTAGCCTCGTTTGTCTCAGCTGAGATTGTAATAACCATTCTAGTTCTATTGCCTGCTCCATCTTCATAAAAATGGCCATAGAAAGTATAAAGTATTTGATTTATCTGTTTGATGTAGGATACACTATCATCTAAAATAATTATATGTGCACAATGGAGATAACAGATGGGTCCTATGCGCATCAAAGGGGTGTGAAATAAATTGTTGTGGGCGGCTGGAAGATTGACCGCCCAATCATCGTGGAGTACCTTAAGTAGAGGCGAACGAACTAAAGATGGAACATTCATGAGACTTGGTTCTCTAAAGTCGAGGGGGAACTGAAAGGAAAGACATCGGCTCTTGAGGTACCGTTGAGCGATCGCCTGGATACAGCTGGAGAATTCGTCGCCCCGGACGACTCCTGCCAGAAGAAGAAACGCAACCGACACTGACATCAGGCGAACGACGACTACCTTGACTCGAGCTAGGTTATAGGTCGTGTGATTATCTTAAGCAAATAAGTGAAGATAGAATCAATAAATTCTAAAATAATGCTTTGCAAACATTTTATCAATAGCTAATTGAGAAGACCTCACGCGACTGTGTAGGTTATTTCATGTCAAACATAATTAAGGGTGGTTATTCGTCGGTAAATATGAGTGAAAAGGTGAAATATATCTTTATGAGCATGTTTTGATAACTATCGCCATCATGATCTCTACTTTCCAGTATACCAAGTTATACAGTGTCAAACTCATTGACTGCACTTAACTACAGAATAATTTCACTTAATAATTTTAGAAACAAAACTCACAGTTTCCTAATTTTTCACATAAATAAAACTATACTTCGAGTTTTCCATTTATATTCACATCATTTCTGTCTCAAAATTGTACTGTTTATCTCTAAGTGATAAATTTTTTGCCCTAAAGAGAATTTTTAATTTTTTTTTCATTATTAGTATTAAAAGAATCAAGTTATAACTTGGCTACTTGATTACTTAACATTTATTATCTCTGTGTTATTCTATCTCCAGATTATGCCCATCCTCTTTTAATTAAACTTTCATTTAATTATTCATAATATTTATGAGCAATATATCTCTTGCCCATTATTTACGCTTCCGGTACTTTAGTTCAAACTTCGTCATTCAACCGTTATAGATGACAACAAAATACATCTCCCCTCTCCCTTGCTACCATATCTCCACTCAACTCCAGCAATCTTAAGAGCAAGTTGGTTTTCTTTTTCTTCCTTATTTCAGCCTTCTCTTTTTTTTTCCTCCTTCCTTTCATTCCTTTTCTCTGTTTTAACTCTTTATTATATTATACGTTGTCAGTACATCTTGATAGACTTTACAATATCACAATTTTCTATCTAACTATTCTATTTAAAATATCTTAATTTTACTATTTATTTTAATTTCTTCCAACACTGTCATCTCCACCTATGCCGATGACACGTGTATCCTATCAGTTAATAACGATCCTTTAATCGCATCCCAAACTCTTCAATCACATATCACAAGCCTTGAAGAATGGTGTAAAAATTGGAGAATAAAAATAAATTCCAACAAATCCCATCAAATCACCTTTACCCTCCGTCGTAAACCTATGACCTCTTGTCCTACAGTATCCTTCAATAATACTCCACTTATTCCTGTTGAGCAAATCCGCTACTTAGGACTCCACCTTGACAAACGACTCACTTGGAACCCCCATACCAGACTGAAACGACTAGAAACCGCCCGACGTTTTCGACTACTGCAGCACTTACTAGACAAACGATCTAAGCTTTCAATCAATTATAAACGACTCGTATATATTACAATAATAAGACCTATTTGGACTTACGGAATTGAGCTTTGGGGCTCCACTAAACCATCGAATTCCTCTCGTATCCAATCCTTACAATCCAAAATCCTTCGTAAAATCCTCAACGCTCCTTACTTTGTCACAAATAAAATCATCCATAAAGACCTTAATGTTCCATATGTTTCCGATCTGGCCCAATCCAGATACCTTTCCTTCCATAACAAACTGCATAACCATCGGAATCCTCTCGTTTCAAACCTTGCTTCCTCCTCGATCCCTGATAACCCTCCAAGGCGTCTGAAAAGAAGATGGCCTCGGGATCTTCTAATATAGAACTTTAATTTGAGTTCTACCAATGAGTAGTTTCTCTTCATGTTGTACATGGCATGTTACCAATTTCTCATTTACTTGTTGTATTCTCTATGTAATACAGTTGTAAATTCCATTAAAATAATAAAAAAAAAATTTAAAAATTTAATTTCTTATATAACTTCATATTCCTTTTTTCTGTTTAACATTTTCTTCTAAGATTACCATTTTAGTACTTATGTCACCTAATTTTGATTATGTTTACTTCATTATTCCACACTTTGTAACGGTTATTATTATTTATTTCTTAGTTCTTGTTATTGTCATTATTCTACCCACTTCATTTTACTTTAATTTTTTTACCTATATTGTTTATTTATCTCATACCTTATTATCTGGTTCTTTTCTTAGCCCTGATGAAGGCCTGAACTTCAGTTCGAAACGTCGGCAAATGTTAGAATAAATATTATTATTTATTTTGTCTTTTTAATTCTGACTGATCACTCCTACCATTCTTCTCTTCATTATAACTTGACTAAGTTGAATCATAAAACACCGGATTAACCAACATGTCCATTCAACCTGCCTTGCCTCGTTTCTAACTATTGTGGACAAATGGAGTTTTATTGTAGGGGAGACTGGGTACGGTTTTGACAGTCTTCATATTAGCGAAACTATAATAAATCGCCGATAGGTTTATCAGAAGGAAAAGGACGTTGTGCCTGAACGTATTTAACAGTTATACTAACTACAATTATTATATTTCTTTGAATAATTGTTATTACATATGTACAGATAGAGTAATGAATGTTTTTTTCTGTTTATGTGTTAAACATCAATTGCTAATTAGCAGTAACTTTGTAAGTAGATAATTTCATATCGTCAAGGCGACAGTATTTTTATGAAGGAGTGCGTTGGTTGTGATATATTTTTCTGAAAGATTGCGGCATAAATAATTTTTTTTTTATTTCAGATAAAATGCTTGATGAAGAACGAAATTTAATTCTAGTACAAATGTACAAACGCCTTACCTGAAATCCTCATACTAGACTTAGAATACAAGAAACTGCCAACAGATTCCGACTACTACAACACTTACATGGACAAACGCTCTAAACTAGAAATAATCTACAAAAAAACTCATTTATACTACCATCACCAAGACTATAGGGACATATGGTATTGAGTTTTGTGCTCTACAAAAACATCAAATTCTTCCCTTATCCAATCCTTACAATCCAAAATACTCCGTAAAATTCTAAATGCTCCTTATTACGTAACAAATAAAATTATCCATAAAGACTTCAACATTCCTCTTGTGGAAGACTTGGCCCGAACTAGTTATACCTCTTTTAATTCCAAACTTTTCGGTCCCCCCAATCCTCTACTTCATAACCTTTTATCTAGTGTTGCCCAAATGCAAGACCGAGACGAGTCTTGGTCTTGCAAACTCAGTCATGGCCATGGTCTTGGTCTTGCTCAAGAGTCTTGCAGTTACTTATTACCTTATTACTATAATTTTTTAGATAGGAGAAACGTAACTAAACCCGAATGAAAAATTAGAGGAGTTAAATACAAAAGTATATTTATTTATTATTTACCCTCCGAGGCGTCTGAAAAGAAGATGGCCTCGAGATCACTTATTGTAAATACATTTTGTTTTTAGAGTGCTACCAGTGGGTAGTTTCTCAACAAGTCATTTCATGTTTTTATTTTCTGTTATCAAATTTACTTAATGTATTTAATTTTTTAATACAGAAGATGGCCTAGGGACCTCCTATATTAATTTATCTTTGAAGTGTTACCAATGGATAGCTTCTTCACTAGTATCTTCATGTTATATATTCCTTTAGCAGATTTACTGGTTGTATATATGTTTACAATTGTAAATTTCAATAAAAAAATTTTTAAAAAACAAATGTAGATAGATAGAAAGTAAACTTTATTCTGGGACAAGGTCCCTTATGAATAACAGATATGAACAAAAAAATTAAAACTACATCTGGCCAAAAATTACATTAATCATTATTATAGAATATATACAGTATCTTCAGTGAAATTAAATTAAAACAAGTAAAAATAAAATAAAATTTTGAGAAAAAACGAAATAAAAAAAAACAACATTATTTAAATGAAGATAAAAATAAAATAAAATAAGCATGGGTTGATTTTTAAAATTAAGACAATAAATTTTATCAATCATTCACCTCAGTCAAAATCTGTTTCACAATATTTATTTTATTGTATAACGTCATTTTGGGATGTGAGAAGGAATTGGTAAAGATGATATTTAAATGAGGACAAGGAAGAGGCATGACGGATTTCAGATGGCAAGGAATTCCAGAAGGCTGTGGATCGGGAAATAAAGGAATATTCAAACGTCTTAGTTCTATGGGAAGGGATATAAAGGTCGGAAACACGGGATCTTGTTTTCTGGGAGTGGACCACGGGTTTAAACTGTAGGAGACTGTAGATGTAAGAAGGGTGTCTAGTGTTGATTGTTTGGAATAGGAAAGATCCGAGGAAATATTGTCTGCGGAAAGAAGGGAAGAGCCACTTTAACTCGTCGTAAAGGTGGGACACATGAGATCGCTTTGATGTACCGAAGACAAATCTTAAGCACGTATTCATGAGTCGCTTCAATCTATCCTCGAGTACCATCGGGATGCCTCCGTACACCACACAGCCGTAGTCAAAGTGGGGGAAAATGAGAGAGGATACAAGGAGCTTGCGGATGGGTTGTGGGAGTAGGTGGCGGGAGCGATGAAATAGCTTAAGGGTACCTATTGACTTACGGGAGATGAGGGCAATATGGGGTTTCCAGGAGAGGTTTTCGTCTATGGTGATTCCTAGGTTTTTAACGGATGAACTGAATGTGACAGGATGATCGTTGATGACTAAAGGAGGAAGGAAGGAGATGGATTTAAGAATAGGACTGGAACCTATAATAATGGCCTGAGTTTTCATCGCATTTAGATTTAAATTATTCAGACTTGCCCAGGCACTGATCCTATCTAGGTCAGCCTGAATATTGGCGAACGCGACTAGTAGCTCAGAAGGATGAAAGGAAAAATATATTTGGGTGTCATCAGCGTATAAATGATGTGAACAGTGGTAGATGGATTTGGAAAGATCATTTATGTAGGAGTTGAAAAGGAGAGGGGAAATGCTCGAACCCTGGGCCACTCCAGAGGACAGTGTAAGAAAGGAAGATAGGGGTTGGTTTGGAATGCTGACTGCTTGAGTTCTGTCGGATAGGAAAGACTGTAACCAGAGGATAGAGCTGTTGGAGAAGGATAGGGATTTTAATTTAGTATAGAGTATAGAGTGGT